GCGCTGCAATGGATGAGTTCTTCAGGCAGCCTATAGTGGTACGTGAAGTCAAACCACTCAACTGTACATGTCAGTGTCACCACAGTAGCCCAAAAAATGTAGAAAATTAGAAATAGAAAGTTCACATGATCTCATTTAAAATGTATATAAAATATTTTGTATTTACTGTCACTTCCAGGACACGTTTGATATGCCGGTCCTGATGGCCAAGTCTGTCAAACACTGCATCAACTTCATGGAAACTAAAGCAGAAGATTTAAACAGGTTACATGTTTTATCACCAAGACTTCTGTGGTACAGCTGTAATTTAACCAGTGCATTTAAAACTATATGAGCATTTAAAGGACTCTAATGCAAGAGGATTTATTCCCAGTGCAATAGGTGAAATGTTAGTTATGACTAATGCCACCAATGATAGTAAACATAGTAAACATGTTTAAAATGCAGAATTACTCACTGAACATGGGGCTAAAAAATTACTTACTTTCTTCCAGAATAGAGATTCCCTTTGTGTTCACGCTCCTGCAGTCGGGTCTCATCCACGGCCTGGCCTTCTGGTTCGATGTGGCCTATGTGGGGTCCAAGTAAGAAATACAAAAATAAACGCTACTGGTTAATGTCTGAAGTTTCTATGTATCATAAAACAGCGGCTGCTAACAACGTGCTAAATGAGATTACTGTGAGTGTGTGTGTGTGTGTGTGTGTGTGTGTGTGTGTGTGTGTGTGTGTGTGTGTGTGTGTGTGTGTGTGTCTGTGTGTGTGTGTGTGTGTGTTAGTGTGTGTGTGCCTATGTTTGAGCGTTGTGTGTGTGTGTGTGTGTGTGTGTGTGTGTGTGTGTGTGTGTGTGTGTGTGTGTGTGTGTGTGTGTGTGTGTGTGTGTGTGTGTGTGTGTGTGTGTGTGTGGCCTAGCATTACTATACTTGTGGGGACCTAAATCTGTTTACACAGTCACGTGTGGGGACTCGCTTCCCTTATGGGGACAAATTGGAGGTCCCCATGAGGGGAATCATTAATTTTAAGGTGAAGACTTGGTTAGGTTTAGGATTAGGGTAAGGTAAGGGTTAGGGTTAGGCATGTGTTGGTTATGGTTAAGGTTAGGATAAGTCTCCAGGAAATGCATGTAAGTCAATGTAATGTCCCCTGAAGTGATGTATACATGGTTGTGTGTGTGTGTGTGTGTGTGTGTGTAGGGCAGCAGTGTGGCTCTCCACAGCTCCCACGGAGCCTCTGACCCGCTGGTCTCAGGTCAGATGTTTGCTGCAGACGCCGCTCTTCGCCAAGCCGGGACAAACTCTGTCTGGGACGGTGCTGCTGGTCGCTAACAAGAGGTGCTAACAAATGTTTTCTCTGAAGTCCTTTAAAGAGGTTTAGATTTTATCATTTGATTTGATTTAACTCAACATAATCCACATTGCAGGCAGAGCTATGACATCCACATCAGCGCCACAGTGGACCAGTCAGGCTTCACATCAGGGAACGTGCTGGACCTCAAGAACCCATACTTCAGGTTACTCCCTTCTCACATTGAACACGATGACATATCAAACAGAGGACATTTGATTTGACTGTGAATGGATGTAATCTGTGCCTGAAAGTCTTCACTGGAACCAGAACTGAGTTGCAACAGACAATAAGTGTGAAGTGACTGTGTGCAGGATAGCGACGTGGTAGAGCCCCCGCAGACCGCCTCTCTCCTCCGGGTGCAGAGCGAGGAGAACACAGGTGAACAGGAAACACAACACACACCCACGTAAGTCAATTATCAGGACATCCACATGAGGGCAGCAAGAGCATGCATTTGGAGTAATTACATGTACTGTAAAAGTTAAACAGTACATATAGAAAAGATAAATATGATATGAAATATATATAAAAATCCAGATTTGTATCCTTATGTTTAACCATGTCTCTCTTTCATCTCAGGAACGTCCAAAGGAATCATCAGATGTCACCCCCCCACACTTTGACTTGTTTTCTTCTCCTTTGGTACAGTTAGTGCAGAATGTGAAGGTAAAGACCAACTATTTTTAAACGAGGAATCCATTCACTTTTTATATTTCAATACACAAATCATGAGGAAATCTGTTTTATACCAGCATTTTTCTCTGTGCACATTTTCAATTTGTTGTAATAAAATGTTGCATTCATTACCTGTATACGTTTTCATTTGACTGCACACAGTGAAAACCTGACTTTGTATAAGAGCTGCAGTCTAATTACAGTAAAATAGTGACATTTAGGATATCAAATGTTTAGGGGCCAAACATTGTATATGTTGAACTCCATTCTGATTGATTCATTTGACTATATTTACTAGCTGCGCTTAGTAACACATCAATGTACATTTTTCAAGTTACACTTAAAAATGAAATAGATAAATATAGTATTATCGTACACAATATTACCCTGATTTCAGGTGTTGCAATATAATATTTAGAGAAAACAGTTAAAAAGGTAGTAATTGATGAGATAACACTTTGTTTTTAGGTAATCTGGAGGATTATGTTGCACCTTAATGCAAAAGAATGTGTACAATTTTACATAAATGATTCACATTTCCCTCTAGGAGGAATACAGAAATATTAAGGAGTAGCTCGCCGTGGATATAATGTATAGAACATTTAGTGTAGAAGTACGTAAATCCAGTAGCTATTTACACCTCAGCTATCATAAAAGTGGTGTTAACTTGTTGAGATTATCATCACTCCAGGTCACCTGAGGTTGCTGCTGGGTAATGTAGTTTATTTTCCTTCCTGCGATGGAGGGAGCCCCTCCATTTCAGCCTTGGCTCAGTCTGTGTCATCTGATCTGGAAGCTGATCTGCAGCTGTGGATTATTAATGCCTCAGAACCTGAGATGGGGCCTGGATGAAGACCACAGATATTAATATTCAAATCTTACAAACGCATGTGTGTGAGCTCTCAGGTGCATCAGTGACGGGTGCAGAGGGAATTTAGGGGCACGTTCATTTGACGTTGGATCTCTCCTGGCTGTGCTATCCTCAGACCTGCAGATAAACTGTCCTGATCAAAGTTTGATGAGCGGGGTCCAGTAACAAGACACGACACGTGAGTCAGTTTCTCACTGTAGCAGGTTTCACTGAGTTGGAAAAACTCAGATTAAAGCGCACAGCAAAGCATTATGTTTGTAAATTCATGAATTAGAAGACAATTTATCTACTTCCTTGAATTGTCTGTGGATTTTGGGGACTTAGCCATGTAGAGGCTTAAAATACACAATAACTTTAAACACTTTAACAACAAATAGCTCAACCTAACGTAGTAGCAATGGTGAAAAAAGAACTCAGATCTTTAATTGAAGTGAACATAGCAATACTGAAGTGTACAATTACTCTGTTACAAGGACAATCCTGCATTCCAGGTCTTACTTAAGTAAAAGTACAAACGTTCTGACGACAAATTATGATTAAATATAAAAAATAAAAGTACTGTATATATTACTGTACTATGATTATTGATGAATGAATGTTTTAAACAAAGTAACTATAAATGCAGTGGAGTAAAAAGTGCTTCCGTAATGTAGTGAAGTAGAAGTATAAAGTAGCATAACATGGAAATACTGAGATAAAATACCTTCAAATGATTCGTATTATACTGTCGTCCCATTCCACTACTGGTAGCAGAAGATGTGCTTGATTGGCTTCCTCATGCAATGATTATTCAACAACCTAAACAATAGTTCCTCGTTAATTTAGTTGAACCTGCACTTCTCTCTTCGGGAGGAGGAGGGGTGGGGTGATTTTCACAGAGGCGCTTCAGTAGTTGCAGCACGGCATGCAGAGAGACGGCAGTTTGATCTGTTCAGCCCGCGGGACTCAGGGATGATCCTGCAACAGGTCAGATTCTAATCAATAATGCTTATTGCTTGTGTTTTGGGACTGGGTGGGTTAGGGTCCATACATGCAGTAATAGTTGGACCTTTATTAGATGTGGATGTTTCAGTGAAAATGTTCTTTTAAATAATATAACAGATGTTCAAGTTGTCCAACAACAGCAAACAGACAGATTGGATCTTCCCGTTACATGATATACCATCAGCATTAGTCTATTACTGTATTTTCTATATAAACGGACAATTTAGGTTTGAAAGAGCAGCTGGCGGATCAACTTACTTCTTTTCTGGAGTCTATTCTCTATCTAAAATGACTTCTCTTTGTCTATGTGATGTGTTTTTCTGAACTATATTTGAAGTTACTGAGACAGTCCAATCTTAGACAACCATATAGCATTACTGCAGGCTGAGGATTAGTGTCTTTGCTAAAATGGAATAGTTTACAGCCCAAATCATATACACTGTCTGATGTTTTGAGCATGACCGAGTTAGTCGTGTCATAAAGTGAAGGGAATGCTGAAACTATGACAGGGATTTGGGAAGATTAGTTGGCTTAGTGACCCCGACACACAGAACAAAAAGTGCAGGACAGCAGAGAGAACATTCAGCGCAGCTTAGTGGGAGATAATGATGAGGCTGATGGTGCATCTAATGCAGCTACACCCACCTTCTATACACAGCTCACAAAGTCCTGCTTTATCATTTCATTAAGATAACAGATGTGCCGCATGTGGACCTGCATAGAACTGTCCGAGCACAATGTGCCTTTCATTTCAGTATTTACTAGACTTTTCTGTCAGATCTATGTCTTGCCTTTAATCGCTTTGTCATTATTGTCATGATTAATCATCAACATGTGTGTTACTATTTTGTAAAAGCATGAAAGGCTTACTGTACAATAACATTTACATATTTCCTTTAGATGGCAGAAGTGTGAGACAACAACAAATGGATTCCACAGAGAGCGTCCTCCGTAAGTCTTTTCTCCCGCACTGGGATTTCCATGTCTAATTGGTCAAACATGGCCGACCTAGACTTTTATCACAGATGGGGATGTTCATAGTAGATTTTGATACATTCGAGCATCTTCAATGACTAAATCTAACCTTCTCTTTCTAGGCATCCAGGGGGATGACAACCTCCAGTCCATGCTGGTGGGGACGATAATGAGGAAAATCAAATCTCGTACCTGGAAGAAGCAGCGCTACTTCAAACTGCAGGATGACTTCATGACCATCTGGTACAAGTCCAAGAAGGCTGGCAACAAACACTCCACATGTAAGGACACGGGATTTCCTGACCACCTCGATATCAAGGAGTCATTCACAAAAGTTGATTAGTTTTATCTAACCATTGTCATCGTGCTCAGTTTCAGTGAGCGATTTGGAGGCAATACGAGAGGGCCACCAGTCAGAGGTGCTCCTCAGCATCGCCGATGAGTTCCCAGCTGACCGATGCTTCACGCTGGTATTCCGCGGGCGCAGGGGCAACCTGGACCTGGTGGCTGAGTCCTCAGAGGAAGCACAGTCCTGGGTCAGAGGCATGAGGAAGCTGATTGAGAACCTTGAGAACATGGGGGAGCGGGAGAAACTTGACCAGTATCTTTCACTCTGTGATTTCAATCAAATGTCATTCAAAGTGTTAGCTACACTGTTATCCAGTGTAGATAGTTATGTACTGATAAAACTAGTAACGACAATGTACTGTACTGTAATACTTTTAATATTTACACTGCGGAGTGTCCCTGAACAGTCCTCTTGTCAGTCCTTATTGAGGATCTCCCTACCACTGTTGAATGTGACACTTTCCTTAAGTGGTGTGCCCAGATGGATTGGTGACTGGTTCAAGAAGGCAGACAAGAACAACGATGGCAGGATGAACTTCAAGGAAGTGCAAGATTTACTGAAGATGATGAATGTGGACATGAACGAGCAGCATGCTCATCGTCTCTTCACAGTAAGAGCTTTGAGCTGAAAACTATGGACATAATGTGATTTAAGTATTCGACAAAGAGTGTTTGTTAGGTCCGTAAGGCCTCCTGGCTTTTGTTGCATCCATCCATAGTGTTTCTCTGTTCTCTCAGACGGCCGATAAGTCCCAGACGGGGACACTGGAGGATGACGAGTTTGTGCTTTTCTACAAGATGTTGACCCAGCGAGACGATGTGCTGAGGGTTTTCCAGGAGTTCTCCTTTGATGGCCAGAAGTTATCCAAAAGAGACTTGGAGGACTTTCTGAGAGATGAGCAGCTGGAAGGGGGCGACATCCAGCTGCACGCCAAGCAGCTCATTGAGCGCTACGAGCCCTCTGACACAGGTGCAGTTCTTGTACTTGCTGCCATGTTGGACAGGTCTTCCTTGAAAAAGAGATCGATGATCTCAATGGGACCACCTGGTTAAATAAAGGTTTAATATTAAAAATAAAGTTTGCACCCTAGATGATATGAGACCATAGATAATGGAGGTTATTGTGAAGTCCTACCCTGTGTGGCTAGGTATTGGTTTACACTCTTTGGAGCCATCTTTATATCTAAGTTTCTGTGTTTCCAGCCAAGCTGCTGAATGCCATGACGTTTGACGGTTTCTTGATGTACCTCGGCTCAGTTGAGGGCTCCATCTTCAACCCACAGTGGCTGGGCATCTTCCAGGACATGAGCCAGCCGCTGTGCCATTACTTCATCTCCTCCTCGCACAACACCTACCTGATGGAGGACCAGCTCCGAGGGCAGAGCAGTGTGGAGGGATACATCAGGTAGTACTGAGTTCACTGAGATCAGGCTGCTAGAAATGTCTCTGCAAATGACCAAAGCAAATGCCCGATAACACCAATATTTGGTTTTGTTTGCTGCTCAGGGCTCTGAGTCGTGGCTGTCGGTGTGTGGAGGTGGACTGCTGGGATGGTGCCAACGGAGAGCCCATCGTCTATCATGGACACACGTTTACCTCCAAGATACTCTTCAAGGATGTGGTCACCGCAGTTGGCAACTATGCCTTCAAGGTAGCATCAGCTGTTTTTCGCCACAATATAAATGAATTCATCTTTAAACGAATCTCAATTGCACCATTTTCTACCTCACAGTTTGAATGGAGGGATAAACACATTGCTCCAAATGATTCTTTTTAAGTTTCACAGTTTATAACCCCCTGGAATTGCAATTGTTTTATGCTTTCATTGTCAAGATAAGCTGTATCAACAAATCGCTCAGCTTCTCATTGTACTTTAATGAGAGTGAAAACAATGATACCATCATCTGAAAGCCCTATAAAGTCAGCTAGCCAGGGATCTGCCACACAGTGCCAGCATCGTGCTGCCAGGGTTACATGCACGACAGAACCTGTTGTGTATGAGCACCCGTCCACAGCTGAATATTTTGACCCCTTGTCCATCCATCTGCTGTCTTTCTCCCACCAAGTCATAACCCACAGGTGTATGGCTGCGGGCGTATTAGCTTTCCCCCTTGATAATGCTCTCCAGTGTTCAATTACAAACTCACAGCCTCCACCTCTCCGCCACCCAGGCATCGGAATATCCAGTCATCCTGTCAATCGAGAACCACTGCGGTGTTGAGCAACAGAGAGTCATGGCCCAACACCTCAACCACATCCTCGGGGACAAGCTGCTGAAAAGCACACTAGACGGCAAGGCCCCCAGCATGCTGCCGTCTCCTGAGGTGAGCAGTGCAGTGTCTTATCAACCCACTTAGTGTAAGCAAACACTCTGTCCTTTAGTAAACTTGCAGGTAGGACTTTAAAGCACTACACTGGACCATCTTAATCGATATATATTGATCTAATATCATTGATGGAAAGTGAAAACATCGATACATGTCACCGCACCGCGCTGAATGAATGCTTTCAAGCTATTTATCTCAATACCGGAGCTAATCCAAAATAGCATCCCTATGTTAATTTCAACAGTTTGACCCATTGTACTGTATTTGTGTCAAGGTGCTACTCAAATGAGTTTCCCGTTATCAAGTGTCGGTCGATGCAAAGCAGTTCCTGGATGGTTGTGTGCTGCTGTCCATTGATTTTGACCAGTGATTAAGTGACTTCAGCTACAAGATAAAGTTCATTTAGGCAGCCTGGCAGTAATTCAAAGCAGACTAGCACCAAGCAAAACATAGTGTGGTGTTAACAGTGGGTACTCCGCCTGGTAGGAGCTTGGGGCACCTTCACTTTTCCCCCTAAAGCCTGTCAGAGACCCCCCTGCCATACAATATGATGTGTCTACATGCAACACTGAATTATTCATTACCACAATACTTTCCCCCTAGGAACCACTCCCTCAAAAAGACCATTAGCCATTTTGTAACTATTATCCAAGCATTATTTTTGAATTATCTGAAAAGTAGACTGGACGTGAGTGTTGACCGCAGGGTTTATTTGAACTTCCTGTCAGGATCTGAAGGGGAAGATCCTGCTGAAGGCGAAGAAAATCGGTGGTCTGGAGGAGAGCTTCAACGAGATGGCGGAAGACTCTCAGACTGGAGAGCTCAGTGATGAAGACGAGGTGGCTGACATTGAAGAAGAGAACCAGCACAGAGAGAGTGTCCGTCGCTCGGTTAAGGTATGTCAAAAATATTGGGGATTTATCAGCTTCATACAATTTAGCCTATCGGGACAAAAGCCGAGCCATTCGTTTTTAGAAATCTGGTCGCCCAGCGAAAAGGATAGCATAAACTCCTGTCGTCCCTCATGAAAAATAGAGGAGGTTAAGGTCAGGGAGCAGACATTGGGTGTTGGATAAGCTGATCTGTTTACACTGTGATGGCAGAGGAAGACAGAGGCAGGCAAGACAGGAAAGAAAGAGCTTCAACACTGTCAACAACTCGTGACGCTGGTGTCTTTTACCCAAGCCATGTAAATCTGAACTTAATCAAAATCACTTAAACCAAATGATATAAACATCTTCCAGCGATGTCGAGACATATATCCGTTCAGTTTCATATGGAGTAGTTTGTGACTCCATGACAGTATAGGTGTAAAGGGGATCAATGAGAAAAAGGACAGGAGTGCCATGCCAGTCTGTCCCTAACTAGGTGAAGGTTGTACAGTCTCCTCTAAAGCGGGATATTTGATACTCTGAATGGCAGTTATCGCAGTCAGTAATCACCTGTGTTGGTAAATGCTGAGGTATAGAGTCTCTAAGTAGGGATAGAATGTAAATCCAACTTTGATTGGGAGATTTAAATTAAAGAGTTCCTAGAATACTTTTAATCAATTACATTTTAGTCAACTTGGGTCAATCATATGTCAGATATATGGGTTACAAGTGTCACTTCCTGTTGCTATTGACTCAGGATGGCATCTTATCGGCATCCATAGTGGTCATTTAGTGTTTGCTCCATTGGAATGTCACATTGAAGCAATCTGGATGAGGTCCGTGCTATGGGACAGGTCTTTGTCCCTAAGTGTGTAAGGCTTTACAATGTTTATTATTTATTATTATTTATAATGTTAAATGCCTAGATATCATTAGCAAACTAATTGGCCAAAGGAATCATGGGGCACTTAAAGTCATGTTTATTTATTAGCATCTGAGAAGCATGAAACGCCACACTGGGACTCCTGTCAGCACCGTCACCAGAGGTGAGGCCCGGGGCGACTTTGGTCCCTGTTGCTGGTGTAGGTGTCTGCAGGGAGGCTGTCTGGTGCACGGGTGAAGGTGGAGCGGTGACGCTGTGAAGCCTGGGCTAAACCTGCAGGATCAGTTTTCATGTGGAAGCAGGCAGGCATGCAGGCAGGGGTGCTCTCACTGTCAGGGTGCGGTTTGGGTCCACTGCCCCTCTGATCAGTCATGGAAGCTCCCCTGGCAGCACACCTGCTTTAGCTCTGGCAGCGTGGGCGAGTATCACTTGCACAATTCAACAGGGGGTTGTCACAAGGTTTCGATGAGCTTCCATCCATGACAGGGCGCATCTCAAGGGTTGACCCTAGTATTACATGGTTGTGAGTAAATTGACCTCGATGTGACTCTAATATGTAAATGACGAGGATGCCTTTTGGATCATTGGGTTCGGGGTTCGTCCTAGGCAGCAGAACTAGAGAAGCTTCTTGGAGCTTTCATTATTTCTTTATTTTCTGTCTTCTTATCTTCATAGAAGTCGAAGCAGCGTCTCTCCAAGGAGCTGTCAGACTGTGTGGTTTACTGCAAAAGTGTCCACTTCAGTAACTTCAAACACTCCCTCATCCACTCCAAGTTCTACGAGGTGGCCTCCTTCACTGAGTCCAAGGCCCGGAAACACCTGAGAGAGGCTGGTGAGTCAGGCCTATTTCCGCTTTACACCTTGGAATGTAGGCCTATGATGTATACTGTATTTAGAAATAGATTTTTGATGTTTGTAATCTTCTGATATCTCCATTTTAGGGGCGGATTTTGTGCACCATAACTCACGGCAGCAGACCAGGGTTTATCCCAGCGGCTTCAGAACGGACTCCTCCAATTTCAACCCTCAGGAAATGTGGAATGTTGGGTGCCAAATTGGTGAATACAACTGAAAAATGGTTGACCCATAAAGCCCCCTTTCTTAACTTAAATGGGGAAACTAGAAAAGTTAATGTATTTTCCTTTTCATACAGTTGCGTTGAACTTCCAGACTGCCGGGGAAGGGATGGATTTGAATGACGGACTGTTTCGTCAGAATAACAGCTGCGGCTACGTCCTGAAGCCCAGATTCATGAGAGAGGCAGAGAAATTTGACCCTGAGACACCTCACGAACGGGAAGGCTACCAGCCTGTCGTCCTAACCATACAGGTACACAACATCGGGAAAGAAAGAAAGGTGTTTCCCTGCAGTTTTCCAATCGTTGCTTTATATAAGTCATTGTATGGATGTGTTTAAGGTGATCAGTGGTCAGCAGCTGCCCAAAGTCAACATAAAGGAGGGTTCCATCGTGGATCCTCTGGTCAGAGTGGAGATCCACGGTGTTCCCATGGACCAGGCCAAGCAGGAGACCAGATACATCGATAACAACGGTACAGGAGAGGAATGAACGGATGAATGGATGAATGGAGAGGATGTATAACTTTAAAATGCTGTGGGTGCTGACATGGAAGGGATTTCTCCTTTTCTGCAGGGTTTAATCCTGTGTGGTATGACACTCTGGGCTTCACCATCCACACTCCTGAGCTGGCCATGGTGCGCTTTGTAGTGGAAGACTATGACAAGACAACCAGAAATGACTTTGTGGGCCAGTATACACTCCCTCTGATCTGCATGCAGCAAGGTAAGGATGCTTCTACAGCTTCTAGCAGACTTTGTACATGTACTAACAATACATTCGAATAACAATAAATCAAGAAAGCTTATTCTCTTTATCTTCTGGCTTTTCTTTGTGTTCCCAGGTTATCGTCACATTCACCTTTTGTCCAGAGATGGAACCAGTATTCCCCCCTCCTCCTTATTCGTACACGTCAGGATCACAGAACTGGAGTAAACCTTCTTCTCTTTCATAGAGCAAGGGTAATAAAATAACATATTATTTAGTTATTAGAGTCATTCCTTCCCGTATAACACACCCATAGCTCTTCAAACAGTATTTCATGTTATTATAGTTATTATTTGATGTGAATAAATACTACGCCAAATATTTAGTGGTTCTTCTGCAGCAGATGTATATATGTTTTTCTGCTTCATTCACTATACTTTGTGTCACTTTTTCCTGTGATTCACTTGGAATTTGCTAATCATGCTTGATGTCTGTAGCACAAAGATTTGCTGTGTTATAGAGAAGAATGTGCCACCAATATGTTAAGATCAGGATTTATATTTCCTCTCAGTATTTTCTCTTACGAACAGCACTTCTGTGTGACCTCACAGTCTCATGCAAAGCTTGAAATGCAATTGTCTTCCAAACAGTTAGAGAAAAATAAGACATTTGAATTCTTAATCCTATAAAAAAAATGGAGGTCCAAATGGTCAAATCTATAGATTTAGACACGCTATATTAGGAAACAAATAAGCAAAGATTGAACAAAACCACCTTCTCCAACTATAGGAGGGACAAAGAATATCTTATAGGCTGATACTAAAATATATATATTAAATAGATGTCTCTGAAAAAGCACATACAAATATTTTGAGCAAACATCAAGTAACCTCTTTGGATTATTAGGTATTTAAATATGCAATATAGCGGGCATTATTTGAAAAATCTAGTATAGTACCTTAAATGTACCCTCATGTATCTCTTATAAACATCATTATAACATCATTATACATCTCGAGCTGCAGTGAAAGGCTGAATCTGAATGTACTTATGCGTAGTCTTGTGTAATCTGATGTTATCTTTGTAGCATGTATATATATGTATCTATACTTCCCATTTGTGTAAATGTGTTTTTGATATGTCTATTTTTGTATACATGGAAACATTCATATGCTCTGTACAGAATAGCACATGGAAGTGTTTATTTGCTTGTTTTGTTTTTATTATAAAAGACGTCATATTGATTTGTCACTGCCTGCAAATAAATATGATTTTCATTTAATAATGTAACAATTGTATCCTTTATATATTAAAGTTACTGCCAGTAGGACAGCAAAACCATATAGCAATTAAAAGCATGCGGAACTTTCGCTCTGCATCGTTTTCCGTCGACTGACTAAACCGGAACACCAGTTACGTTTGTCATGTCAACAATGAAGTTACCGTGAGAATAAACACAAATTTCCGGATTTGACTTTCAGAATAAAACTTATTCAGACAATAATGCCTTATGAACGTATGTACAGGTGTTTTAAATACAAAACCCAATAACAACACTAAATTGGTAGTATATTTTAAAAGTAAATTGCAAAGTACTTTTCTCACAAATGTAATATTACTCAGAATAACATGTGCATTTTTAATATGATTTGAAATGAATGCACTTCCGGTAGTAGTGTCACTAACTTGACGACGTCACACGCTGTCGACACGGGGAGCTGCATCACAGTGTATTGTGTGTACAGCTGAGATTAATGTAAAGTTCTCCAGGTTTACATATATATTAAAATGGTGGGGAAAATCAAACATGTCCGGCAGAAGCTCCACCAGGAGGCCGTAAAGCTGCATCCACAGTCCGTGTTATCACCGCCGAGTCTGGCGGTAGAGAGACCCGCTGCTGCTGCTGCGGAGCCACACAAAACAAGTACTACACTGCTGGGGAATAACAAGAACAACGCCAGACAGGTCTGTTGTGAGAACTACTCGACAAATACGTAAAATAATACATGTAGTCAACATGTTTTAGCCCAGCAAATAATAGTAAAACCGTGAGAAAAACACGTCTTTGTTATGAATGGATTTATTGGTTCCATTATCGGACAATTATGTTAATAGGTTAGCTTTATTTTTAAATGCTCTTCTTTTTAAAGCAATTAAGGTAAATCAAATGTAATTCAAAAACAAAAAAAAGATGTAATGAAAACAACAGACCCCTATGTAAGGATTTGAATAGCACTATGATGCCGAGATGACACATTCAATGACTCAGAATCAGAATTCCTTTATTCGTCCCACAGAGGGGACAACTACATTGTTACAACAAAAGATAAAGGCATGCACATAAAAAAAATAGCTCAGAGTGTCTTACAGAATCCTGTTAAAGTATTCAAATTGTCTAAGTAAGGAGGCAGCCAGTAATAATCATAATGATAATTATACTAATTGATTTATTTTTGTGAACTTCCACAGGCCCTGGGACAGAGCTCCTTCCCCTCTGGGATCTTCTCCAGCACTCACATATCTCCAGAGGCCCTGGTACAGACTCTGAAGCTAGAAGAAGCTCCACATGTACCACAACCAGCTCCAGCACCTGCCAAGACAGGTAAGACTTACAAAAGATAAGGAATGGATAAAAGAAAAAAGAACCTTGAGTGTGACAGGTCACCGTTACTCGCCAAGCGTAGCAGGAGTCAGATAAATCAATCTGATTGATGTGATCAAACCACATTCTGAAGATGTGCTTACACTCTCTGGCCACTAGATGGTGCATCAGGATTGTGATTGTCCCTCCCGCTTCATCAGCACCACCCAGACTCTAGAAAATATTTTTTGGGAGGCATTTTCTGTGTCACTTGGATCATCTCCTTCCAGCTCTGCAACAGAAACCTGTTTGGAGATGATCCAAAGGATGCAGAGCTGAGTCTGACGGAGGGAGGGGGGGAGGATGGAGGTGGGCGTAGTTGCTACGCACGCCGTGCTGCATGAAGCCTCAGCAGACAACGGGCCCGCTGCTATTTATAGAGCAGCAGGGTGTAAATTTAGCTCATGCATGAAATCACGGTTTAGCTGCATCAGTGGAAGACTGAGGCTGCGGCTGTCTCTCTTTATTGATGGGACCAGGTTCAATGCAGAGAATGGACTATTAGGGAGTCCTTGAATGCATCACACTGAACACAATTTGCTCACACATTATTATTAATCCATATTTCTATAACATTATAATACATTTTGCAGCCTTAGATCGTGATGTGTTGATGCCTGAACCCATTAACCAATCATTAAAACAGAGCCGACAAGCTAGCCAATCAGAGCAGACTGGGCTCTGGTTTCAGACAGAGGGTGAAAAGAGGTGCTGCAGCACAGACAGTATGAGACGCTTTTTGAACATTAAAGCACTAATTACAAATAGAAACCTGCGTATCGAAATGCGCATAACAGTGCATTCCTTAAGCATACACTTCTCTCTGAGGTGGTGTTAGAATATAAGATCAGTGTATCTGAGCCCCCTGACAAAGCGCTCGGTGTGCAGTCTTATTAGCGGTGTCGTATCACTAACGGACCCCTGAGGGAAGACCCCCTGCTCCTCTTTATTCTGAGGTCAGCTCCCTAAAGGCTCTCCTCTTCCTCTACCCTGCTTCTCAGGACCCTTTCCTTCTCCTCTCCTCCATGTTCATCATCATTCCACCTTTCAACACGCCCATGTTTCTCCTCATTTCATTTGAACACCCGTCTGTTGTTTTTCCCCTCTTTGGTTCAAGGCTGATGTTCCAATTATCCCGTAATGGAAGCAATGTTTACTACAGTGCTTATTAAATGACATTATACTCATATTAAATGCACAGAATACCATATACATTTTGAGTAAGATGCTACAGATATATATTGGTGTTTATGCATGGACTCCAGCTGTCATATTGTCAGTGTTCATCAGAGCATGAGGACATATAGGCGGACAGGAGGCTTGTGATTGGCTGAAACTCAAAAGTCATGGCATTCACGCCTCATTGGGAAGCACTCTGCAGTCATATGTCTCTGTCAAACACCAGGATGGATTATTACTGCTGCGTTAGAGCGCCAACAGCTTTTAAGTCACAGTGATATTAAATCATACATTTTTTACATCAGATTTCTTCATTTCAATTTGGATTTAATTTCATAACAGTATAGTCTTTTCTATGTTCCACGTATATATATATTTTTTTTTTTCCTGCAACTTATGGCACGTCGTATTATTATCTTTACTTTGATTTGAAATGATGTTAAGTATTTTATGTGTTTCACTGTTGGAAGAACCTGAGACCTTAGATTCGCATTGCCAAAACAACTCTGATGCTCTCCCATGTAACTGAGTTTACAAGTGTCTGAAGAATATATGATGATTCAAGACATTTCATTTGTTTTAAAGAAGTTTTTCTCCATCATCTCTCACTGCCCCACCTTCCATCTTCACAGTGTCTAAACACACCCTCTCTGCCCACCTTAGAGCTGTCAGTCCAGTATTGTGAGCAGGGTGTATGGGCAGTACAGGGGGTGGGGGGGGGGGTGGATGTGGGTTAATCACAGCTATCCATTTCATCGAACAGCGGGAAGACGATGCTCCCAGTGGGAACGGTGTGGTGGTAAAGCACCCTCACCCACTCACGGGAGATTAGATTTCTCCACCTCGACCCACATTGTAGTCAGCACTACAGATGCCTATCTTTGCCTGTTCTCTGACTGCAAACAGCTGCAGGAACACGGTGGGGGGGGCTCTCCGGAGATAGCAGGCCTGTCTGAACACACAGCTAGAGAACATTTCCTCCAAAAGTTCCTACCATAACCCGAACCATAAAAGTAGCTCATCAGAGGAACGTTCTGTATTCCTTCTTTTGGTCGAGCTGATTATTGGAGACATAGGTGAGCGTCTGTCGGCCATGTTTTTGCCCCCTGTCCCCCACCGGTCTACTTTTTCCGACAACCTTTGCCACCGTAAACTAAATCTGAAGACTCATTTGATGTCAGATTGACAGATAGCACGCATTTTTGGGGGAATAATAATGATAAAAACCGCATCAGAAACAGCAAAAGAAAGTTCAGTTAGGAAACAAAGGAAACTACCTATTACTACGCGGTGAAATAAGGCAGTTTTCTACCGATGCTAGGTGTTGAAGTCGGTCTAAATGGGATCAATAGGCCAGCGCAGAGCGTTCCCATCACACCCTGCTGCGCTCATTGAAATGACACGTGGCCTGTGAGCTGCCTCTGACCTCTGACCCCGATCGATGGATAGGAACACGGCCAGCCAACACATCACATTACTTACTTAAAGTTCCCATGTCATGGCCATTTCCACTGATCATAATTCCATTGTTGAGGTCTACTAGAATAGATTTATATTGTGCAATTTTCCAAAATCACATTGGTTTCTCAAACAGCATCTCTGTAAACTACGTGTATTCACTGAATTCCACTCTCTGCCTTTAACGGCTCGTTGTAGCTCCAATAGCTCCAGCCCCCACCCTCCCTGTGAGCACAGTGTGCTCTGATTGGTCGGGACGTTGTGAATCGTGCTGAGCTCCGTGGAGCTGTTGTTTCCTTGTTTAGCGACACAAAGCCAAACACAGCCAAACTCACCCTGAGCACACACAAAGTCACAGCCGAAGTAAAAACAATAAGTGTGGCTTGATATTGAGTAAGAAAAAGGTTGATAAACGCTGTGAGAATGGGTCTGCAGAGAGAATTTCACCGCGATCCCAACTGTCTGTTATCAGCCTGCAGCCAGGGAGGAGAGATCAGCAGAGCTGCTTGCGCTGAGTGTGTGTGTGAGGAAGTCCGTGGATTGGTCAATTTGGACCAATCAGCGGGGGCTTAACGTAACGGCTCCACGGATTGGTCCATTTGGTTCCGGGTAACGCATGACATCATGAGGCACCCGGAAGAATCAATGGACAGTGACGTATCTCCAACGAGGCGTTTTGGGGAGGTATTTTCTGTGTTAGTTTTTTACTCGCTACAGGGTGTACTTTGAGGGTTTTGACTCTGCAGACCGTTTACATGCATAAAAACCTACATGACACACAAGGGGACGGGTAATAACCAGAAAAGCATGACATGGGACCTTTAATATGGCATTCAATAAAGAGGAAAAGTAAAGCAACCAAAACAGATATTTGGTCAATAAAACCAAGATATATTTTATTAAGACGGTGGTGATTTGTATTCATTCTTTCAGAGACGTATAGGACATCATCAAATATTATAGACTGCTATTGATCAATCTGTACATATATCGAACTCCAGATTGTGTAAAGAGATCACTCAGAGAGGGGGGGGGGCGAGGAGTGGCGGCTTTATTCCTCTCACCTTTAATGTATCCTTAACTCATTTATAAATGTATTTAATTATCGGGTTTACCTGATGCAGTGGGGTTTGGTGTGACCTGTCGTGTGTGTGTGTGTTTCACAGGCCAAGAAGACAAGAAACTCAAGACAAAGAAGGAGAAGATGAAGGAGAGGAGGGATCGATGGATGAACAGTGAGTTTCTATCAGCACTAATATGAATACACACATATTTAACAATGATATTTTATTGTCAGATCAAGGATTTCATTGATGTCTACTGTTGGCCAGTTGAAGAATGACCTGATAGATGAGTGAGTTTGGGGCTTTTTGCTCCATGTTTGGGTCAGTCTGTGTTTAGATTTTAATTCCTCACCGTGCCGCCATGTCCCATAATCACCATCAGGCCGGAAACCCAACCTTTTGCTGAGCCAATCAATTCCCGAGTAACACAACACGTATCCTGTTCTGGCGTCTAATTAGGTGCTAATGGCCGCGAGGCTCGATGCCGCTGAAACCCAAGGCTGACAGTTTTCAGGAATTAGAATAAAATTAGAAAGAAATCTGACCTTTTTGTTCAGATAATGGAGGGCAGAGTCTGATCAGAGTGCGTTCTGAGAGACTGATAGCAGGGTTGAGGCTTGAAGCTCCTGATTGGAAACGGACCTTTTTAGTTTTTCTTATTTCCATGTATTGTGAATGGAGTTGTATTGTGTGGCTCAGCTTGTCCCTCCCTGCTTCCTCTCAGAGATCAGCTCCATCAAACTGGCGAAGGAGAAGCAGGCGTTGGAGGCCCGGCGGCAGGCCACGCCGGTGGTTGGGGACATGAGGCCGCTGGCCGACGCCCTGCCGGAGCTCTTTGAACTCATCGGGCCCTCCACCACGGCCCCCGCGGCGCGCCGCAAGAGCCGGAAAAACAAAGTGTAAGTGCCAAGGTCACCTCACTGGAAGGCATCCAGCGTGGTGCTCCGTAATTATCACATTTCTCCTGTCCTTGAGAAGAGAACCAGTCGCAGATACTGTCAGACGGTTAATCAACACATAGGATTTAGATTAAAGGACGCAGTGGGTGTTGAGCGCCGTGATCTCACATCCTCCATGTGGATGGTGCGGAGGTGCCCACACGACTCACAGGCTCTATTTAGTAGCTGCCCACTGATCCTAATTCTAGGATGGGTAAAATAGAGACTACATTTCATTGTAACCGGTGGCAATATGTGTGACGTTTAGAAGAATATTAAACTCTTCCATTTCCATCACTAGACGTCTTGAGTTGAAATGAGTTTCCTGTGTGTTTCCTCCAGGCCGGTGAAGAGGCCTGAGCCGACAGACTTCAGCCAGATGAAACAGTCACAGAAACGCCGATTCCTGTGAGCTCATTTCCTCATCAATATTATTCACATGACATGTACCGGCCTCTCCTCCACACAGCTGAACACGTGTGTGTGTGTCTTTTTAGGGAAACGGAGAGCAGCCGGTTCGACAGCGCGGTGAAGACGCTCTCCGCCAAGATGAACCCTCTGGCGGATATCGGGGAGCAGCTGAGGAAGAGGATGAGACAGGAGGAAGAGCAGGGGCCCAGTTAACAGCAGCTCCTCCACAGACACTCATCTACAGACGCCCCCTTTCCCTGACTGAATCATGCTCCACACAGAGGTGAAGACGAAGTGTAGTATTTGCACTTCACTCCTCCTCTTCAGTAATAAACCGTTAACTCTGAGCTTCTGTGTGTTTTCTGCTACACTTCATTTGTATTGGCTCCCAGCATCATTTACAAACGTATGCTTTGTTTCTGTCCACCCACACACTCATCACTCTGATAGTGACTATAAGATCAGAGTGACTCATCAGTAATAACCATAGCAACTGCACTGATCTATGTAAATGTGAAGAACATCCACGTGTTGGGAGATGTGGGGGCGTCTTTAATATTTAATAAAAACACCTCTGTATTTGACTTTTCACTCAATCATACGATGCCATGAAAACAATTCTCATGATGTTTTTCAAATTGTGTCTGAAGTTTGTAATAGCTGGAACTCAAGTACTGTGAATGAGTACACCTGAGGTACTTGAGTAAATACATGTTATGCTAATACATGCTTCTACTCCACTATCAGTTGGAAGGTAATGTCGTTTTTAAATTACTTACAGTTTTTTAATCACAGATTATTACCTAATACAAATCCTCCGCCGACATGGCCTCCGTTTGTTTACTAGTTGTTGCAAAGTGTCTTTTAGTACTTAAAAGGCGCTATATAGATAACATGTAATAATGATATATCATTTTGCCACTTTCTTGAGAAGTTATTTAGACCAGGAGCAGCGGACGAGCTTTAATCTGCTTATGTTTGGCTGAAAGTCCGTAACCAGCAGAGCAAGGGAAGACAAAAGCTTCAGCAACGGCTCACAAAAAGATACTCCAGTACATCTGCATGTAGAAGTATGTAAGTAGTATCCTAAAAAATGTGCTTTACTGTGATTGTTATACATACTGTGTAATTAAAAGTTGAATGTTCCCTTTGAAATGTAGTAGAAGTAACTCGGAGTACATGTAAATAAAGCAGGCGTTTGTAAGTCATTCAATGTGATGAGTTCCAGTTTATCTTGTCATCTTCACCATGCATGTTAGAAAATATTTAAGTGAGACAACGATGAGACTGATCAATACTCCGCGCGGCCATTAGGACTCATTAATAATGAACGAGCACAGTGTCAAATGAAAGTAATCAGAGAATGTTTTAATAAATTCCTCTGCAGATGTTTGACCTCCCCTCTCGGACAGGTACGGACACATCCACAGGTTCTGAGTAACATGTTGTGCCATGTGGCCGTCAGACATTCCTCCTTCATAGAGAGAGACCTGACAGTGTGTGTCGTCACCGGCTGGTCCTCGGAGGTGAACTAACACACACAGGAAGAAGAAGAGGATTAAAGTCAGTGGTGGAAGGTAACTAAGTATATTTACTCAAGTACTATTTTGACATCATTTTACTTGAGTATTTCCATTTACTTTATACTCCTACTCATTTCAGAGGCACATATTATACTTTTCACTGTATTTTAACACTATGTACATTAAAAACACATATAAGCTGATATGGTATAATGCAATACTGGAGTGCTAATTTACACATTTTATTTTTAAAGTATCCAAATTGCTCGCCATTGTCCAACTAATGCTCTTACATTTATAGAAAACTGAGAAAATAATAAGCATAATAATATAATACTGCAATAATATCCATTCTAGAATAACTAGTACTTTTGATACTCGAAGTACATTAAGCTGATAATACTTATGTACTTCATATTATTGTGAAATGGGTCATTGTGCAGAATGAGTTATTTTACTGTTTGTACTACTTTTACTAAGTAACATTTTTGGGATCAGGACTTTTACTTGTAATGGAGTACTTTAAGACTATAGTATTTGTACTTTTACTTGAGCAAAAGATCTAGATGGAGTTCTATATCCAACACTGATTAAAGTCTTGTGACAGTTGGATGACATGAGAAGAAAATGGGTGGAAATCACATGTCATCTGCACAGGTGAACCATATTACCATGTATTGATATGTACTTTAAATGAGTGCATGAGTTACAGGAACTGTTGTTAGAAATCATTACATCTGCAGAATGACTCAGATAAAGTTGTGGGGAAACAAAACTAATTTACTGCTAAATGTATTTTCTTATCACATATCTTTTCACATTCCTCCGCTGTTTCACAGGTACAGTTGTTAAGATTATTATTCAACATTATGTTACATTAATTACGCTATGCTAATTAGCAAGCGTAATTCATTTGAGAGCTCATTAAGTAATGCATGAATACATTACAGGTTTCTCTTATACAATCCTTTATTTGGAAGTCCCAGTGAACTAAATATGTTCCTGTTGCAGGACAACTGTACATGCTGCATAAGATGAGCCACACAAGTTATTTTAATTAATTTGATCTTATTACCTGAGCTATGCATGGAGCGAGTAAAGAGTTGGGACCTTTGTGTGTGTGTTCCTTGTTGAACATTTCCACTGTTATCTGACTCAAGATCAGCTGCAGCTCACTCACATATTTCTCTACATGACTCATTTATATCTGCTGGCATCTGCCATTATTTCCACTCTGTTTTCTCAGATCAACAGATGCTTAGACAGTGAGAATCCTGCCTCTGCCTCCTGAGTGCCGCACAGGTGATGAAGCAGAGGAGACTGCTGCAGGGCTTCCTCGCTCCTGCTTTAAAACACAGTGTGACTTAATGAGTCACCGTGCACTCAGATTAACCTGAGAGCGTCCCGGTGAAGGATTGTCTGACAGCATTATAGGTCCCACAGTTTTAGATTTGTTTTAGGCTTTAGGCCCCAACATATTAAATTAAAGAGGTGAGCACACGTTAAAAATAACCAACAAGTACAAAGTCTTAGTCACCTCTTTAATAAATCAGTGCAGAGGTGGTAAAAATGTGACGTGATTGACCTTTTTTCTTAGATTTCCCCCCCTCTACAGCCACATCTCCTCCCCCTAAGGCCTCATCCATCCGTTCACTAGACTTTCTCCATTTCCCCCCCATGGAGCCTCACATCTACACCTTCCTCTGCAGCCTGCAGATACAGAGCAACTACCTGCATCCTCATACTGCTGCAATATAACTGCAACATAAATGGTGGCGGTATCATCATATAATATACATACTGTACATATATTTTAGGAAGATATATGATTTTAAAAAATGTCTAAGTAATTTCCTTCGTATATTTCTCATTAAAATATTAAGTAGAGCTTTTTAGTAGTGCTGCTGTATAAATCCAGTGCTACACATGGCGAGTAAAAACAGTGTATCTGTCACTGTACAGGTTTTGTGTCCAATCAGTGTGTGTGCTGGTGCGTAATGCGCCCATGTGGCCTCATTTTCCTGCGCCCACCTCTTTCCTCCGGTCCAATAGGAGCAGGCATCTTTTGGAGCACCAGGAGAGCCCCGTCCCTGGCTCATACTGCCCGGTGATACCTCCCTCTCTCTCCCGCAGTGTGTGGAGCCCGGAGCCGCAGCATCATTGCACCAGGAGGGTACCTTCAGTCGGATACTCTGAGTGACAGCACCGATATACAGACCGTAAGTACCCGTTAATGGGTCAATTTCATACATAACATGTTTTACCTGCACCACTGTCTTTGCCCACTCAAAACTCCATTAGGAAATGTTCCCGTTTAAATGTTCTTCATGTAAGGGATTAAGTACATGGCTCATTAAACACAACTCAGTCTTTTTTTTACAAATTAAGCACTCTGAATAATACGGCATGTGTAGGAGGTGAAAAGCAGTGGTAATGCCTGTTTAATTCCGACTTCGTTACCAAGCTAACGTTTTACTACAGCGCAGTCCGCTGCAATTCGCGGCATTAAAACAGGTGATAGCTTCAACAGGCATCTTGGTGTATTATTGGACATAACGCTTTAATATGTTTTAACCATACGCCGAATTAAAGGGTTAGTCCGAATAAATAGCATAGGCTATACAATTGATTAATATCAAAACCAACATGGCTTATTGTTACGTTTTCCTTTCAATTAATAGTTTCCTTGGTTAACTTTGGCGAGCTTTTCTCTTGACGTGAGCAAACGCGCAGCAAACACGACTCCTTAAATACCAACTTAAATCCGCAATACTAGAAGCATTTTCAATCATGTTATATTCGTGGATTAATCAATGTATTTGACAAGATTAGCAAAATCTAATATGTTTATGGTAATACACATAAAACCAAATGTCTATATCCGAGATGCGCAATCTGCATTATGTCCTGTCCTCCATGAAAACATCTACATTTAATCTGGATTATTTTATCAGCAAAAATGCCTATACATGAAATGATATAACAAGCTTAATAGTAAAAACAATTACAATAAGGTAAATAGGGTTTTGTTAGATCAAAAGGATAATAAAAATTGCTTTTCTATAGCAGTAAATGCAGTGAGGAGTGTTCAGGAAATAGCCATGGAACATCAATGCTTGTTTCATAGAGATGCTCATACACCATAGAGGATAAAGGCTTTATAGACACAGTGTTCAATAACCTGGCCTGCACAAAAAGGGTGTAAATCAAGTGGTTGTGATGCTCTTGAGATTAGCACACAGAAAACAGAGGAAATAGTTTTTGGCTCACCACCTGACTCTCATGAAGTATCATATAAAAGCTTCTAATTGTTGAAATAATTTCAAATGTAACCAGATGCAACAAATATCCCGAGCTGGACTCACAGCGTGATCAGGGTCTCACACCTGAAATCACACCTCGGTCCCATTGGCAGTTATTTTAGCTCTGAGCCTCACTTCCTGTTTCTGCAGGAAAAGTACAGCCCATATTTTCCAAAACATGTTTTCCACAGCGTGATCTGTGCAGCCCTTTGTTTCTGGCCCTGTCACCAGTGTGAGTTCAAATGAACCCATAAGGCATACTGAAAAATAACTTAGATAATCCAACAAGCAGTCATTTAAAATACATATTGTATGGAAACACATATTAAAATACTCGCACGAAGACAACGGAACAACACAACGCCTAATTGGGAGATTCATTTTTGCGCTGCGATCACTTCTGGCCTCTGCATGGCTCGGCTCAACTTGCCTTGGGCTTTTTCTCTCTTGTCTTCCACTTAGCCTGCCTGCACAGAAATAGCAGTGAAATAGGCGTATGACAGAATGCAGTATTCAAAGTCAGTGAGTCAGTTAGTGGGCATCCTTAGCAAAAATGCTCTCATTCTGTTGTATGAGGGGTTGCCAATTTAGATGCAATAAAAAGATCAAATAGGATACATGAGAAATTCAAGTTAAAAGGCTTTATCAAGTGGCTATTTCAGGTAGATATTTAGTTATAGAATATAATCACCATAAAACATGCTATATAGTCATTAAATGTTAATGTTTAAAGTGTAAAGAAATCAAATATCGTATATTTCAACATATTCCTCAGGTTTTTCTTGATATTTTGAATTAGAGGATACATTTGTTGCTTTATGCTTGTTGGAAATAAAGCCCCTACGTCTTGAGAAAGTGTACATGATTTACAAAGTATTTACCAACCCCCTACTCTGGCCCACTGCAACATTTAGAGTATTGAAGTATCCAGCCAGTATAAAGGACCAGGAAGTGATATAATGTGTTTTCTGTGCGTATCAGACGTACTTGGTGACAGTCTCTCTCCGACTCAGCTTCTCTGTCGGGGATTAGCGGGGCAGTCTGGGCTCTTGGAAACATTTTGAAGACTGCCGAATCCTCTTTCAGACAATTACTGTGCCTCCAGCTTAACCCCCGTCTCACATCAGTCCTCTCCTCTCACACAGCCCTGCAGGCACATCCATGTGGACGGATTGTTTCTTGAAGTCAAGCGTGGACACATTTCTTGGTATCATCACATCAATTTGTGCTCTTCTGTCCTCTTGGATCTCGCTGTGAGACATGAATATATCTGGCCCGGTTTGTGCAGTGTGGATTTGACTGGATTGTTTCCAATTGTAGTACAACCCAAAGACTTGGGATATGGAAGTATACACTGTCTTAGACTTTGGATGGACGATGATATTGCAACATGGCATAAGTGTCGTTGGGTTTGCTTCACAAAAAGTTATCATTTCTGAACTTACCAGAAGTTTTATAGACGTTTTGTTATTTTCCCATACCCAAGTAGTCATTTATAAAGTATCTCTTTGTATGGCCATCAAACCTTAGGAGGCAGAGCGTCGACTCGTCCACCAATCGGAGGGTTTCATCCGTCCAGCCCCTGCAAAGACTGGAAAATGCTAAATAAATGCATACGTCGCAATATCGATATCGAGGTGTTTGATCCACATATCGTGATATTTCATTCTTTCCATATCGCCCAGATAAATGGACGGGGAATAAAGTTATTCGATGTGTGGACGACGATGGCTCCAAGTGATCTAACCAATGTTTGTTCATCCACTGGGAGACACAGTTTGTTAATGGTTTGGATAGAATATCACAGCAGCGCCTAATACACGCTGGTAAACGCAGAGAATTATTCAATACAACTCCACCTCCTGACTTAATAACAAATAAGTCTCTAATTTCCAAGCAGGAAGGTTTGAAAACACCGCTGCTCTTGTCCTATGTCCAACACCACTCATTTCATTTCATTTAATCGTTTATTTGGCAGGGACAATGCACAGTAATGAACACTTAAAACATTCATATATGTCAAGATTTAGCTTTGAGCTCATTTCCATCCGCAGTCCCTCGCATAAAACATCTAAGAAAATTACATTTTAGAAACATAGCAAAAACAAAATACATGATATGCAAAAAGTGCAAAAGAGCAAGAGCAGCATACACAAGTATTTACGACATGGTAATACAATATATCAGCAACGACATATAAAGTGCGAGAGAAGATACCCCTGTTTTAAAGTGTAACTAATGTCTTTAGGGATGTACAAGCTCTTTTATCTTCTGACAGCCTGCTCAAAGAGTCTATCATGCTAAAACATCATTGTCTGGTTTTAGTGTGACTGGAGGAATGCTGTTTGTTTTGGTTCATCATTCATTATGACTCATTATGTTTCCCATCACAAGGCAGAGTGATGGAGCCCTGCTGTATTTGAGTCAGCGCTGGTATTAGATGTGTGTGCAGCGCTGATGGCAGATGGCTTAAAATCACACCGTCAGAGGCGGGAATGCGCTGTGAGGTTTGGAAATATGTTAAGCCCGTGTGATTGGATACATCAGCAGCAGTGAGGAGACGATGGAAGCCCCTGTGGACAGTGATGGAGGAGAGGCACATGGTGTGTATGGCATTAATGGATGGATGACTGAGTAAGGAATACATGTTGACGGTTAAGGAGGAAGGAACGTATGTCTAGGATGGGAAGAAAAAAAAAAAACACAGGTTGGAAGTGGAAAGAAAGAACGGAACGATTACACCACTTATTTATAATTGTATTTAATTGTAGTAAGTGATATTTCCCTTTTTGTTGCCACTTACATTTAAAAATGTGACCAACGTCTTGATCCCTATCTGTAAATCTAGCATTTCCTTTCCTCCATCTTCAGCCGGTGTGTGTCGATACCAGTTCTGCTGCCTCAGGTTCTGAGACGCTGATGTGTGTTTTCCCAGCATCCTTCCTGGAGTCAGCGCTATTTCTTCTGCCTCCGTTCTAACTTGAATTTTTAACGGGGGTCAGCGTTGTCGTGTGGAGCTGCCGTCGACATACCTTTAATATTTCATAGGTTGCCCCCTTTGATGAAGCAGAGTGTGCGCCGGCCCTCATTAATGGCAGGCAGGCTATCAGAGGCCTGCTGAATCATTCATCGCTCCTCACCTGCTCTTCGATGCATCCACCGCGGATACACACTCACGCCACTGTGTGTGTGTGACTGCAGCATGCAATGGCAGTGTTAAAGTTTATGATCTGTTTTCAGATATTGGACGTGTTGATGATGTCATCACTCAAAGCCGGCCCAGCTCTACCTTCATCTGCACGTCTTTAATCTCTTATTATTCCCTCGATGCACAACATGATTGAACCCTCATAATATATCTGCTGGGAATTGTCGATCAATACCAACGATTGAGCGAATCCTCGAGTCGATCTGGGACTTGTGGTTCACTCACTCATGCTGCACGGCTTTCTAGATTCCGTCAGTCATTAGTTCACTCATACTCATCCGTTTGCGCCTTGTGGCTATTAAACAGCTTCTCCACAGACTGAGCAGCATCACTTCCTGTCTGCAACTTTAAAATGTCAAAGCTGTGGTTAAAAAACGAGTTTTAATGGTAAACAATCCGACCAATCAGAGCGTGGATCACCTGAACCCTTTCAGTGTCATCCACATACGTGTGACGTTGCTTTGGGGGACAGATCAGTGTGTGTTAAGGGCAACAGATACCCTTTTCAACTAAAGTGAGTGCAGCTTGAGTTCTGAGCTGAGGATATTCTTCGTTAGGAGATCATTCAGATGCGAACATGAAGAACCTGTTTGCTTCCATGCACATTTCCTTTGCAATAACAACCAATGTTGGACGGAGTTGGAGAAGAGAACGCTGATGTGCAACCACATGCAGTGGACCTGAGGCGCTAACACTAGGGTAGAAATAG